GAATTCTGATATCTTCTTTAATTGGAGATGGAGCAGGAGATGGAGGGATGCAAAGCACAAGAGGAGGGGACCTCACTGGGGGGAGAGACAGGACAAGGGGAGGGGACCTCACTGGGGAGACAGACAGGACAAGGGGAGGGGACCTCACTGGGGAGACAGACAGGACAAGGGGAGGGGACCTCACTGGGGAGACACACAGGACAAGAGGAGGGGACCTCACTGGGGAGACAGACACACAGGACAAGAGGAGGGACCTCACTGGGGAGACAGACAGGACAAGGATGGGACCTCACTGGGGAGACAGACAGGACAAGAGGAGGGGACCTCACTGGGGAGACACACAGGACAAGAGGAGGGGACCTCACTGGGGAGACAGACAGGACAAGGGGAGGGGACCTCACTGGGGAGACACACAGCACAAGAGGAAGGGACCTCACTGGGGAGAGACAGACAGGACAAGGGGAGGGGACCTCACTGGGGAGACAGACAGGACAAGAGGAGGGGACCTCACTGGGGAGACACACAGGACAAGAGGAAGGGACCTCACTGGGGAGACAGGACAAGAGGAGGGGACCTCACTGGGGAGACAGGACAAGAGGAGGGGAACTCACTGGGGAGTCAGACAGGACAAGAGGAGGGGACCTCACTGGGGAGACAGGACAAGAGGAGGGGACCTCACTGGGGAGACACACAGGACAAGAGGAAGGGACCTCACTGGGGGGAGAGACAGGACAAGAGGAGGGGACCTCACTGGGGAGACAGACAGGACAAGAGGAAGGGACCTCACTGGGGAGACAGACATGACAAGGGGAGGGGACCTCACTGGGGAGACAGACAGGACAAGAGGAGGGGACCTCACTGGGGAGACACACAGGACAAGAGGAGGGGACCTCACTGGGGAGACAGACAGGACAAGGGGAGGGGACCTCACTGGGGAGACAGACAGGACAAGAGGAGGGGACCTCACTGGGGAGACAGACAGGACAAGAGGAGGGGACCTCACTGGGGAGACAGACAGGACAAGGATGGGACCTCACTGGGGAGACACACAGGACAAGAGGAGGGGACCTCACTGGGGAGACAGACACACAGGACAAGAGGAGGGGACCTCACTGGGGAGACAGACACACAGGACAAGAGGAGGGGACCTCACTGGGGAGACAGACACACAGGACAAGAGGAGGGGACCTCACTGGGGGGACACACAGGACAAGAGGAGGGGACCTCACTGGGGAGACAGACAGGACAAGGATGGGACCTCACTGGGGAGACACACAGGACAAGAGGAGGGGACCTCACTGGGGAGACACACAGGACAAGAGGAGGGGACCTCACTGGGGGGACAGACAGGACAAGAGGAGGGGACCTCACTGGGGAGAGACAGGACAAGAGGAGGGGACCTCACTGGGGGGAGAGACAGGACAAGAGGAGGGGACCTCACTGGGGGGAGACACAAAGGACAAGAGGAGGGGACCTCACTGGGGAGACACACAGGACAAGAGGAGGGGACCTCACTGGGGAGACACACAGGACAAGAGGAGGGGACCTCACTGGGGGGACAGACAGGACAAGAGGAAGGGACCTCACTGGGGAGACACACAGGACAAGAGGAAGGGACCTCACTGGGGAGACAGACAGGACAATAGGAGGGGACCTCACTGGGGAGACAGACAGGACAAGGGGAGGGGACCTCACTGGGGAGACAGACAGGACAAGAGGAGGGGACCTCACTGGGGAGACACACAGGACAAGAGGAAGGGACCTCACTGGGGAGACACACAGGACAAGAGGAAGGGACCTCACTGGGGAGACAGACAGGACAAGGGGAGGGGACCTCACTGGGGAGACACACAGGACAAGAGGAAGGGACCTCACTGGGGAGACACACAGGACAAGAGGAAGGGACCTCACTGGGGAGACAGACAGGACAAGGGGAGGGGACCTCACTGGGGAGACAGACACACAGGACAAGAGGAGGGGACCTCACTGGGGAGACACACAGGACAAGAGGAGGGGACCTCACTGGGAGACGACACACAGGACAAGAGGAGGGGACCTCACTGGGAGACAGACAACACAGGACAAGAGGAGGGGACCTCACTGGGGAGACAGACACACAGGACAAGAGGAGGGGACCTCACTGGGGAGACACACAGGACAAGAGGAGGGGACCTCACTGGGGAGACACACAGGACAAGAGGAGGGGACCTCACTGGGGAGACAGACACACAGGACAAGAGGAGGGGACCTCACTGGGGAGACAGACAGGACAAGGGGAGGGGACCTCACTGGGGAGACACACAGGACAAGAGGAAGGGACCTCACTGGGGAGAGACAGGACAAGAGGAAGGGACCTCACTGGGGAGACAGACAGGACAAGAGGAGGGGGACCTCACTGGGGAGAACAGACAGGACAAGGGGAGGGGACCTCACTGGGGAGAGAGACAGGACAAGAGGAAGGGACCTCACTGGGGAGAGACAGGACAAGAGGAAGGGACCTCACTGGGGAGACAGACAGGACAAGAGGAGGGTCACTTACAGCAGCAACACCAGGCTACACCAGGCTACACCAGGCTACAGCAGCAACACTAGGCTACAGCAGGCTACGGCAGCAACACCAGGCTACACCAGGCTACACTAGGCTACACCAGGCTACACCAGGCTACACCAGGCTACAGCAGCAACACCAGGCTACACCAGGCTACAGCAGCAACACCAGGCTACAGCAGCAACACCAGGCTACACCAGGCTACACCAGGCTACACCAGGCTACACCAGGCTACAGCAGCAACACTAGGCTACAAGCAAGGCTACAGCAGCAACACCAGGCTACACCAGGCTACACTAGGCTACACCAGGCTACACCAGGCTACACCAGGCTACAGCAGCAACACCAGGCTACACCAGGCTACAGCAGCAACACCAGGCTACAGCAGCAACACCAGGCTACATCAGGCTACACCAGGCTACAGCAGCAACACTAGGCTACAGCAGGCTACAGCAGCAACACCAGGCTACACAGGCTACACTAGGCTACACCAGGCTACACTAGGCTACACCAGGCTACACCAGGCTACAGCAGCAACACCAGGCTACAGCAGCAACCAGGCTACACCAGGCTACACTAGGCTACACCAGGCTACACCAGGCTACACTAGGCTACACCAGGCTACACCAGGCTACACCAGGCTACAGCAGCACACCAGGCTACACCAGGCTACACCAGGCTACACCAGGCTACACCAGGCTACACCAGGCTACAGCAGCAACACCAGCTACACCAGGCTACAGCAGCAACACCAGGCTACAGCAGCACACCAGGCTACACCAGGCTACACTAGGCTACATAGGCTCACCAGGCTACAGCACAACCAGGCTACACCAGGCTACCTAGGCTCACAGGCTACAGCAGCAACACCAGGCTACACCAGGCTACACCAGGCTACACCAGGCTACACTAGCTACACCAGGCTAAACCCCTCCCGGCTACACCAGGCTACACTAGGCTACACCAGGCCTGCTACACCCGCTAGAGCAACACCAGGCTACACCAGGCTACACAGGGTACACCAGGCTACCCAGCTGCTACACCAGGCTACACCAGGCTACACTAGGCTACACCAGGCTACACTAGGCTACCACACCAGGCTACACTAGGCTACACCAGGCTACAACACCTAGCAACAGCAGCAACACCAGGCTACACGCCAGGCTACACAGGCTCAAGACCAGGCTACACCAGGCTACACAGGCTACACCAGGCTACACCAGGCACGACACAGCTACACCAGGCTACACTAGCTACACATGCTACCAGGCTACACTAGCTACAACACAGGCTACACCAGGCTACACCAGGCTACACCAGGCTACACCAGGCTAACACCAGGCTACAAAACCAGGCTACACCAGGCTACACCAGGCTACAGCAGCAACACCGGCTACACCAGGCTACACAGGCTACACCAGGCCGACAACCAGGCTACACCAGCTACCTAGGCAGGCTACACCAGGCTCACACCACAGGCTACACCAGGCTACACACCAGCTACCCAGCTACCTAGGCTACACAGGCTACACCAGGCTACAAACCCGGCTACACAGCAACACTCCAGGCTAAACCCGGGTAGCAACACCAGGCTACACCAGGCTTACACCAGGCTACACCAGCTACAAACCAGCTACACCAGGCTACACTAGGCTAAAACCAGGCCACACCAGGCTACAAACACCACCAGGCTAAAACCAGGCTACCACACAGGACCGGGTACAA